ATGTACATCTCGGCAGGACACCATCCAGCCTTCCACAGACGAGGACCACCAGCTCAGAGCCTCAGCTTTTTGTCTTGTTCTGTTAGAGTTTTAGCTTCTAACCCTATTCTAATGAAGAAGCTGCAGGGCCTGGAATAATTTGCACTGCAATCTTGAGCAGCTGTCAGTACTGCCTGTTTCCGATCAAGGCTGGAGAGAAAGGTGGGAAGTAGGTCGCGCTGACTGCAAGGTGGCCAGGGGCTTGGCATCTGGCAAGAGGAAGATGGAAATTCAAGTCCCACCGTACCGTGTCAGCAGGTTTAACCCTAGCAAAGCAAACACGCCATCGAGCTGTTAAATATCTCCTAGGAACCAGGAACCTTGTTAGTGCTTACAATGCTGCTCTCCCTCTGGGATAAGGAGAAAACCAAGACTCGGCAGGGCTAAAAGCTTGTCCCAGCACCAGTAAGTGAGAAGCTGAGACGTGAGTTGAGATCTTGCCCATCACACCTGTCTTTGAACTCAGGTCTCTAAGAGAGGGACCCCGAAATGAGACAGACGCCAAAGCTGGCATTCCAGGCATCAAGCCTTGGGCTTTTGTGGTCTCCCTTCTAAGAGCAGGGGTCAGGGCGCAGCGTGCAGGTGGGGACAGAACTGGGAAGGACCGGGCTCTGCTATCCCATTGTTACCACCCCCCAGGAATCAGATGTTCCGTTTCTACATCCAGCTTGCTGTCTCCCTCCTCCATGTCCTCACACATGCCACACCCTCTCCCTGGACTGCCTCCGCTCTCATTCATCTCCTACAAACACCTCAAAACCCCATCTGAAAGTCACCTTCTCTGCAAAGTCTTGCCTAGAATTAGGCGCCGTGTACTCCTGCAGCACACAGCATTGTGTCTGCACTACAGGGTGATCTCCTGTCCATGCGTCTGTCCCCCCAGGGGGACTATGAGCTCCTGAAGGGCAGCAGCCAGGCCCCATTCACCTTCACAGCCCCTGGTGTCCAGCACCACCCCGCTCAGAGGAACACAAGCTCAGAAGACGCTCAATGAAAGAATGAATGAGAAATTAATAAGAGCTCTCTGACCCTGAACTAGATGTTGCTCGACTTTCGCACTTTTCCTCTTTCTGGTCTATTTTAACAGCATTTTTCCTCTCGTGGCAGTCGTGACTCCACACACACACTCCTGAGCTGGTAAACTCTAGGACTGGACCTGAAAGTAACTACAAGCTCCTGCCCCCGAGTAAAGAGCCTGAGCTTTCCTTGCCTATCGGAGGGCTCTGTGCTTTTTGGTGTCTTGACAGGGCTGGCCAGGAATCTCACCTCCAGATGTGTGCATATGCACACACGTGCACTGCTTGTGTAGTTCACAAGTGCATGCACAGTGTGCATGTGTGTTCACATGTGTGCTGCCATGGGTCCGCATGTGTGTGCAGTGTGCATGAGTTCACATGTGCACACATGTGTGGGTGTTCACATGCATTCACTGTGTACTATGTACACATGTGTCCACCTGTTCATACTATGTGTGCTCATGTGTGTGTGCACTGACATGTGTCCACATGTGCATGCACTGTGTGTACACGTGTGTTCACATGTATGTGCCGTGTTGTGCACAATCTCAGAACTGTTCCTTCAGATTAACAGTCAAGTTGGCTGAGCACTGTCTGCTGGAGGGAGGCAGGTTGCATTTTTCATCCAGCAGAGCCTGCCCTTCAATGAGAAAACCATCTAACCGCCATGTACTCAGCTCTCAGCCTGAGCCGGGCCAACACTTAAATAGCCCTCACAGCATCCCCCCCGAGATAGAGGCCTTATTATCCTCCTCACTTCACAGCTGAGCACACACAGCTCAGAGAGGTTAAGTCTGAAGACACACAGCCAGAAAGGGACAGGTTCCAGACCATGATGTCCCTGACGTGCATTAGTGAGCCTCCTGCCTCTAGAGCTTTCCTCAGAAGGAAATGACAGCACAGGGAGGAGAAGGCACAGGAACACGCACCCACCTGCCAGGCTAAGCGTGCTGAGGACGAACTGGGAGCCGTACAGGATGGTCAGGCAGCAGTCCTCCTTCTGACGGGCCGCTTTTGCGCGCTCAAAGTCCTTGGAATTCTTCCCTGGGCGGATTTCCTTAATTTCCATGATATCCACTAGAAAGAAATTAACATGAGCCAATTAGAAGGTGGAGTTCATGCCACCTGAGGACACAGTCACATGCCTGCACCCCGAGCACAGCCTGGCTCCCTTACTCCCCTAGGAGGCCAGCTCTGCATCAGGGCCCCATCTGAGCTCAGGGCCACTCCCGGAAGTGGACAGAAGGCCATGGGCCTGTTCAGGCATTGCTGCCACGCAAAGCCCTTGGGAGTATGAAGGGTTTGGGGGTTTCCCCTCCTCCTTAACACATTTCAAACTAGGACAATTAACTTTTGTAACATAACTCTGATTGGAAGAATCAGATTGGCCTGGAATATTCTGCCAAAACAACAGACCCAATGGATGCTCCCTGGCGCTCATTCCAGACAACAGGAAGGGTCCCACTGCCCCCCCTCCCTTTTTTTGAGACAGAGCCTCACTCTGTCCCACTGAGTAGAGTGCTGTGGCATCACAGCTCACAGCAACCTCCAACTCCTAGGCTAAAGCAAGTCTCCTGCCTCAGCCTCCCAAGTAGCTGGGACCACAGGTGCCCACCACAACGCCTGGCTATTTTTTGGTTGCAGCCATCACTGTTGTTTGGCAGGCCCAGGCTGGATTCAAATCTGCCACCTTAGGTGTATGTGGCTGGCACCTTAGCCACTTGAGCCCCCACTGCCTTATTGATCTGACTCAGGTCTTTACAGCCTGAGTCCCAAAGCTACAGAAGCTCCCTGGCTCAATTCAAGAAGGAAAAGAAAAAGACAGCCCTAAACAATTGCTTTAAAAAAGAAAAAAGGTGGAACCTAGATTGAGAGATGGTCACAGAGGGGCCGACTCTTACTCCAGTGGCCTCTCATAGGCCAGGCTTCGCATACGGTTGACCTCATATGATCACCTGCCTTTAACTACAGGCCATCTCTGGGACCTGTTTTAACTAAGATGGGGCATAAATGATGCTGGTGCCTATCTGTGAGAAGGCCTAGGAGCTTCTGTTATTATGATCTTGCAGGGAGCCAGATCTCTATGCGTATAGTATATATAACAGCTTTAAGTTATAATGGACATACCATACAATCCATTTAAAGTATACAGTTTAATTGTTTTTAGCATATTCCCAGATACACATATCATCAGTCCACATTAGAACATTTTTCTCACCACAAGGGGACACTCTGTACCCTTCAGCTGCCACTCCCTGTCCTCCCTCAGCCCCACCCACCCTAAACAACCACTAACCTACTTTCAGTCGCTACGGACTCACTGTTCCAAGCCTTCGTATAAATGGAATCATGATACGTGGTCTCTTACGCCTGGCTTCTCAGCCTGACATTGTTGGGGTTCGTCTGTGTTGTAGCATCTACCAACATGTCATTACTTTATATGGCTGGATAATACTCACGGGACATATGTATCACATTTATCCATGTGGGCTGTCTCTAACTCTCGGCTGCCTTCTACCTATGAACCGTGCTGCTATGAACATTCTTGAGCAAGTTCTCATTTGAACATCTGTTTTGAATTCTCAGGTATAGAGAATAGAAACAGCAAGCAGTTCTCTCTTGACCACACCCTTGTAATGCCAAGGTGGTGGACAGCTATAATATAATGGTGTGCTGCCAGAGGACAGACCGGCCATCGGCCCAGGCTATTAACAGCACCCACAGGTGGAAAGTCCCCTGCTGGGCACTGGGGCCTTCTGTGAATGGAGACAGCAGGAGAACGGCACCAAGCAATTCACAGCTATGACCACCACCTCCCAGGCCCTGGAGCCAGCAGCAGGAAAGGTCCAGAGGCACCATATGGCTGCCCCCATCCAATCATCCAGGAGCCCCAAGAAGGCAGGAAGGAAATCCCTCACCACCCATGCTGGTTTTCTATTTAATAATCAGGGAAGTCTGAGAGGGCAGCTGGACATCTTTGCTGATGTGCCCCACACTTGATCTTGTACCGGGCAGGAGCATCTTGCTGAATGAAGATCCCACCCCCCACGGGGTGCAGAGCCTTGAGGAGAGGGCTGGTGGGTGAGTAGATTCACTCACTGCCCTCAACCTGGTAAGTCCAATCCCCTTTTCCAACCCGAGGCTGGGAAGAAGATGCTGATACTGGGGCTGCAAACTCACATGTTCCCAGGGGTCACCCAGATCCTAAGGCTGGTGATGTCATGGACAGACTCTGGAACCGGCTAGCCTGAGTCTGAATCCCATCCCCACCCCCAGTTAAGGCAGGTGGCTTACGGCAGAAACGTCACCTCTGTGCCTCTGTTTCCTTATGTGAACAACAGAAGTGACGCCCACCGTGCTTACCACACAGCACTCTTGTGAGGGTTAAGTGACAGCGTACCTGCACACACAAGTTTGTCAATCAAAATAGCCCCTGACAATTTTAACTAACAAAGATCGGGAACATCTCTGTATTTGTTAGCTTTTTTTTTTTTTAATTATTAGTGCAATTGAAACAAATTGGACACCGTTAAGGCATAAGAAATAACACAGCGTCTCAATCTATTTGCTGTGAAGGTTGAGGAGACAGAGCCTTATGTGACACACAAGAAAATCTCCAAGACAACAAAGGTGAACCGCAGACTGGAAGTCTACATCTGTATGGGCCCACATGTACACACATCGACTGTATACAGACGTCCATCACTATGTAAACGCTAACCATCTGAATATCCACTGTAACATTTTTTGACCCAAAAAGCACCATCCAGATCACAGAGCTGCTACAGGACGTTCATGTGTAGGCATCAATGAAACAGTAAAAATGTGTATCAGTCTGCAACGGGCGAGGAACATCCCCAGCATTCATGAAGTTGAAAATCACCAGACATCAAACCGGGTGTCTCACCCACGCTGCTGAGTCCTTCCTGAATCCTAGTGTTTGCCTCTGAAAGCAAACTACCAACCTAGGTCCAATTTATTTATTTGTTTAGATCAAAGCCACTGATTAATAGGGTCCAATGTAATGACATCTTTGGTATTTTTACCAGATTATTTCATTGTTGTCTCTCTATTAAAGTACAGGCAGTTCCCACGTTGCAAACATGCAACTGATATCTAACCGGCACTTAGATCAGAAGCTGCGACAGGTAATAGGGAAACGTACCTGCTCTAACTTACATGCAAATTCAACTTAAAAACAAACCTATAGAGTTGATCTCATTCATAACCCACAGACTGCCTGTACAAGGAAGTTGGTGGGTAGAAGAGAATCATAATTCAGAACCATTATAGTACAGTTCCCTAAGAACATTTTACAAACATGCCCAGTGGTGACTTCGATGAAGCATCAAATAAGTATTTGTTGCTGTAGAAGTTCTGTATTGATGCAAAAAAAGAATGGTTGGGCTGCTTTTCTATACTCAGGAGTTTTAAGTGATACTGAGGAAACGGAGGTGCTTGAATATGTTGGTCATGCACCAGCATTTGCACCCAGACAATGCACGATCTATGTTCTACACCGACATGTTGCTCTTCAGCACCGTTTCAGGAATGTATTAGACTCCACGGAGGAGGAATGCCACTATTTCTAGGTGTGTACGTGTGTGTGAAAGCAGGAGAAAAAGTACAAAAGATTTCCACCAACTTGCTGATGCTTGTGACCGGGCTGGTGGCTAAGTGACGAGGGTTTATTTGCACTGGTTGGAACTCTTGTCAAGGGCGTGTTGTTACGAGGACGCTTTATTCTCAAAGTAGGCTGTGGTCAGCAGAACTCAGGCCATGCACTCTTGCATGGTGGGGCTCCGTAACCGAGTTTCCTGCTCGAAGAACTGAGATAACACGACCACAGAAAGGAGGGCGCGCCTTCACACGACCCTGCTTCTCCCTGCTGTGGCTCAGGTCCTCCCAGCCAGGCCCTAGCATCCCCCCTCCCTAATGCTCCTGGCGCAAGGCCAGCACCCCGGCTCCAGGCACCCTCCCTCTGCCTCCCCCTCCTCCACACCCTGCCACCCTGCAATGCACCCCCTGCGGGGCAGGGGGCAGGTCCCTGCAGACTGCTCATTGCTTCCTCTCAC